TTTTTGCAGTACACATAACTCTCGGATAAAATCCGAATTTTACGCATTTATTTATTATCTTTCTTTACATTAACATATGCATGACTCTCTATCATTTAATTTCAGTCTCTATTTTTGACAGAATGGAATTGTACAGATGTTAAATACTACTAACATTCTAATACAACGAAAACAATTTTTAAATATGAAATAATGATTGCATCATTGGAAAAATATTCGATTGTTCTGTTCTTGGTAAACTTTGTTGTACATCAAGTGCTATTGTTCTTCTTAGATTTAACCATCGTAAATATTGAAAAATAAGTTTACTAAATATACGATAAGCTACTTTAATACCATGTGTAACTTCCATGTAATTCCATAATAATTCCGTATAAAAATTATGTGCACGATAAACAGCCATATAATCTATAAGAATTGGTTCAGTTGTATCTTCTCCTGTTGAAAGACCTTTACTTAAAAATAATACAATAAGAAATAGTTGCATTATTTTTTGATCGTATTGAACAATTTCGACTAATGGTGCAAAGATTGGTTTTATTTGTAAGAGATAATTAGTTCCAATAGCTTGTTGAAATGCAGATTCATCCCAAGGTATATCAGTATTTGTTTCTATGACTTGTTTCGTATCTTTTTTGAATGAGAGTGCGAAACTTGGAACAAGAAGTGGCATAAGATTATATTTAGTTAAGATAAATTTATCTTCAGAACTTAATTCAGTAAATTCAGGTATTTGCTTAAAAAATGCTACAAGACGCATGGCTGGAACTGAACGAGAATTTAAAAATTCTAAAAGATTAGTTGAGTGTACAGTTGGATTCCATAGAAGATTATCACGAGCTGTTAACATATGAAAAATAGTTTGAATAGAATGTTATATTCCTGAAATATACAAACCGAGTTCAATTCGTTTTTCAAATGCAGTTTGTACTATTTCTATACGTTGAAGATCATCAGAGTTTAATACCGCTCGTTGTATGCGAGAGGATGTTTGTGGTGAATACTAAGAAAACAAAGATTTGTATTCAATAATATAGAATTAAAATTTAATTTACAGAATCAGGAGATGTTAATAATTGTAATTGAGAATTTTGCTCATTTATTGGTGATATATTAGTTCGTTCTTCTCTACATTGACGACGTTCAATTGATTTCTTTTCGGCCTAAAATTACGATGAAAATATTTGATTTTAGTATATAAACTATTACTTTGATTAGTCGTTCACGTTTCATTCCATATCTAAGGCATTTATTTAGACGGCATGCTGAACAACGTCGTCGTGTTTCTAATGTTACAGTACATGTATTTTTATAACGACAGGAAAGCGTTATCTATATATAATAAAAACTAAATTGAATTACAATTTTCGAAGTATCTACTGGATTCTTTAACGCATTACGACGAAAGAATAGTTTACAACTTTCACATGAAATTACACCAAAATTACGTCCGAGAGCTGATGAACCACAAATAACACAAATTAACGATTTCGTAGTACTAATTCCTTCTTGATTCATTGATTCTATATCATCATATGACTATAAATATGACAAACAATTTTTTCAAAAAAAAGAAAGGTTATAAATTACATCAGATAGATCATTACTGTTTTCTTCAGATTCTAAAATGACTGTTTTCGATGATGATGATGATAGATTGTTACTAGTACAAATCTGTTCAATAATTTTTTCATCAGTTGTAATAAGCATAACTCGACGTTGTTTTAAATTCGTTGATGAATTCATTATTTCTTTCTATCTGAAACAAATCTAGTAGAATGGACTTTGTTTTTTTTCTGAGGAAAGGTGTTGATGTGGCATCAATAAGACTAGTAGCATTTTTTTCTTTCTGTCGAATTCTTACCATTCAGTCTTATTGAATGTTGCTGTCATAATTCGTATTTTTTTGTATTCAAAAATATTTCATTCTTATATATATATTTATGAATAATAAAAACGTGTGTACTCGGTGAAGAAAAAAGTCGTCTCTGAAAAAGTACATTCAAAATCGTGACTTTGTTTTGCAGGGAAAAATATTTTTTTAAAAGAAAATATTGATTTTTTGACTCATATATTTTCCTTTTTTTACTAGATAAATATTTGAATTATCATTTTGAAAAACTAAGAAAAATGCTTTAAATTATAACTTACAGATATATCAGTTTGAAAACAATCTTTATCGACAAATTTTTACGTATTTCGCTGTATTGGTTAACCTTTACTATACATCGTTATTTGTAACTAACAAAAGAAACGAAGAAAAAGAAAAAAAAACAAAATTTTCAATGTATGCTCAGTCTGCGGGTGATGATGTAGAGGTATAAGTATAACGTATTTATAATGCACCGAAAATGTAAAAAGTATGGCTATTTAAAAAAGGTAAATATTTCATAGAAATAATAATTGAATAGTAGCATCTTTCTCTTTATAATATTTTGTTTTATTCGATATATAATACCTTTATTGAATTTTATTCATACGATTATTTCTCTTCTATAAAAAAGTTAACATTGAAATTTTTCGAATAATTCCTATGCGGACTATCTTTCTATATACTTAAAAATAAATTCTGGTAAATAAAAAAACGTTTTATAATAAATATATATACATAGTTAATTCTCAATTATTTTATTACATTAATTGATTAATAAGAAAAAACTAAATATTACGCAAAATGAAATAATGTTTTCATTAATGGTAATAATTCATTCATATCAGTTGTTAATAAATTTTGCTGTACATTATCTCGAAGTTTTTTATGAAGTGTTTGCCACGTTATAAAATGTGTTACAAGTTGAATCCATATACTTGTCGCTTTTTCCAGTCCATGTACTGTTTCAATATATTTCCATAATAATTCAGTATAGTAATTTTGTGCACGATAAACAGCCATACCATCATTGAGAATAGGTTCGAGTTCACCTTCGTGTACTGGTGCAAAACCTTTAGTTAATATCAGTGTTATCAGTGCTAATTGAATTATTCGTTGATCATATTGTGCAATACGTACAAATGATTCAAAGATTTTTCTCATTTGTAAATAACCATCATATCCATAAACTTCTTGTATGATAGAGGGATCCCATGGTACATCTGAATCAGTTTCAATAATTTGATCAGTTTCAATTTTATATGAAAGTGTACAATTAATACATAAGAGTGGTAAAAGATTATATTTAATTAGAGTGACTTTATCATCAACATTTAATTGATTAAATTCAGGTATTTGTTTAAAAAATGTTAATAATCTTATAAGTGGAACGGAATGACTATTTAATTTTTGTAGAAAACTCATTGCATGCATTGATGGATTCCATGGAAGACCATCACGAGCTATAGAAATAGAAAATTAATTGAAGAAAAATATTTACAATGGATTTTACCAAGTTCAATTCGTTTTTGATATAAAAGTTGAATATATTCAATACGTTGTAAATCTTCTTGACTAAGTAATCCTGATTTAATTTGTGGTGATGTTTGTTGAAGACAATTTGATAAGAAAAATATTTCCGAATTTGTTGGTGAAATTAACTGAATAAATTTCTAAGAAAATCTTTTATAAAATTCGACAAATCTTACTTCATTAGGATAGAGAAAATTTGTGTCTAGATTCATATTGAAATTATCTTGTTTCTTTTGTCTTTTAACTGCTTTTTGTTCAGCCTACAAAACATTTCTTTTTGTTCTTAAATATTTATATGAATATTATTTTTTGATAAATACCACTAAAAGTCGTTCACGTCTCATTCCATGTTTTAGACATTTTACTAAACGACATGCAGAACAATGACGACGGGATTCAAATGTTATCTCACATGATCCTTGTTGAGGACATTTCTGCGGCTAGAATATAAATATAAATGATAGAATTGATTTCTTTGAAAAATTTACTGGATCTTTTAAAGCATTACGACGAAAAAAAGATTTGCAACTTTCACATGATATTGCATCGAAATTATATCCAAGTGCTGGTGCTCCACATATAGCACAAACTAATAAATTTTTTTTGACTTTTTTCGAACGAGATGATTGTCGATCGATCTATCGATAAAATAAATTTTAGTAAAGAAAAATTGTGGTTATTACTTCTGGATAAGTGAGTTCTATGTCATCATCATCATCTTGAGTTTCAAGAATAAGTGATTTACATAATGAAGCATTTTTACTATTCTTTATTTCATCGATAATACTTTCATCTCCACTAATTATCATTATTCGTCGACGTTTTACTTTTTCTTCACCAGCCATCTTTTTTTAATTTTCTAAAAATAAAAATTTAAACATTGAGAGTTGCTATGTCCTTTTTTCATTTGTTATCATGAGTAATCTGTTTTAGTCATTTATAACCAAATAGATCTTGACACGCATAAATAAAAAACGAAATACTTTTCTTTAAAGGTGAAAGATAATGAAATTGATATTGCTAAGATTAATTTTATTAGGCTATTTCAAATATAAAGTAATTCTTGTAACATAGATTTTATTAATATCATATAAGACTTAGAAAAAATGGTATATCCTTAAATATTATATTTAAGATCTGTTATTCCTCTATTGTAACAATGACTAAAAAGAAATAGAACGTACAAAAATTTCCTGGAATGTATTCGTACTTTTGTGTAGTATCTGAATGATTAAGAATAGAACAAAAAGATTCTTATGTTTTTTTGTTAATTGTCGATGTACTATCTTCAATTGTCAAAATTCATTACTCAAAAGTAGTTGTGACATTGCTTTCAAAGCCTGTCATTTAGTCTGTATACATACCTTTTACGTAGATAATTTTAGCTTTTGTGTAGGCAAATCTTTATTGATAAGAATGAAAGATAAATCTTGAAAGAGTCCAAGTCATGGCAGATAAAAGACTTATGTGCCCTTATACTATTAGCGCTGTTATAACTAATGAAAATCTATCCGCATCAAAGTTTGTCGTTATAATATATTCAAAGTGTCGTGAAGGTTAAATTTACAGTAGATACATTAGATTATGATGATGTATTTTTCTTTAGTAACCATTCTATCTGTTAATTTAGAATTTAGAAAATATCAAAATTTCTCGATTCATGCACAATGTTAATTATTGTCTTCGATACTAATAACAATGAATACCACGTGACAGCTTCGATAATAGTAAATCTAAGTCTAAATGTCACTTATAATATCTCATAAAATTATTTTATTGTTTAGCAAGTTCTTCCAGTTAAAACATCTATTTGATATTATTATTTTTCTTCTCAAAGTTTACATCATAATACTTCCGATGAAATATCATAGTTATATTTGAATTATATGGTGTGGAAAGATAGATCGAATATCGTTTCCTTGAATAGATAGTGTAGAATGACAGTACTTTGGACTGTTCTATGTCATATTCTCCGACGCTGATAAAATCAACAAGCTCTTATTATTCGTAGAATAATAATGATTATGAGTGACATCTATCGAACAAAAAAATTCATAAGTTGACAATTTATGGATTTAATAAATATTGGAAGTAAGCGAGTGACTCTCTTGCGTAGTTGCAATTTAAGGTCGAATCTGACTTTGAACTAAAAACGAACATTGATCATGGACAAAATTGAAATAAACGGACATTCATCATTACAAAATGGTATTGACGATGATTTTGAATTAATGGGTGACTTAATCAAAGAAGATCCTATTATAATCGAAGTAAATATTTGTTTTTTTAGAGTAAAATTTTCTTGATCAATTTCTATGACATAATTTTAGCGTCGTCGTTTACGTAATAATGAAATAACAAAAAAATTGGGATTCTATTTACTCAAAGGTTATTGTATGTTAAGTGATGCTTGTCCAGCATGTGATGTATGTAGAAAATATTTCGGATATAATAAAAAGAATTAGAATAATTTTTTTTTATCATAGTGTATTCTTCTTCGTACACCAGAACGTGAATTACTTTGTGTTGGTTGCGCTGAAGTTGATGCTGCAAATAGTGAGTTAAATAAAATAAATAAATATTTTCCTAACGATAGAATTTCATCTTTTTAGTAAAAACAAATAAAGATATTCCAACAGGTAGAATAAAATTTTCTTTTTGTAGTAAAATTATATTGATTAAATAGAAAATAATGATCAACGTTTAACATCAGCTCAATCAAATGATAAGAAAAAAGATCGTGCAAAACGTTCAAAAAAACGAAATAAAAAAACATCATCAACAACAAGTGAAGCTGATGGTATGCTTAATACAAATTCAAACTATTCTGCTCAACTTGAAAATAAATTAAAATGGGCTGTTGATGAAGTATATTAAAAACAGATCTTTCTTCATTTTCTATAATAAATATTCTTCTCTTTTATAGTTAACTAAATCACAAAATCCGAATCGTATCAATGCTATGTGTACAGTTATTATTAAATTAACCGAATCGATTAAAGCATTGAAAGACTATGAAATCGTATCTGTTTAAAATGGAACAAAAAAAAACAATTAAACTCATTTAAATAACCTTGCATTATTATTTAACACATTTTGTTTACTTTTTCCTAGCATTAACTGATTTAATCGGGTTTATTTCACCATTATTTATTCACATTTATATGTAGAAATAAATTTTTTTTTGAAGAATTACTGTAGAAATGTAGACATAAATATAATATATCAATAGGACATATTTTATTTGAATAATAAGAAAATTTCATACGTGGCGGTCTTTTTTTTCTACAATTGAATTTCAAATGAATGTATATATCGAACATTTAAAGATAAATCGGAAAAACTAAGGTTATTCAGTTAAACGCAATAATTTATGCAAATGCTTTTTGTGTGACTATTAGCAGAAATATGATATTTTCGTTTTAACAGCAACTCATGAATAAATAAATAAACAAATGAATTTAAAGTACAGAAGAGAAATTTTATGGTCTATGATTGATAAATGTAATAATACTAATTAAAGAGTATAAATGATTTACTAATATAAGACTAATTTTATCATGCTTTATAATTATAAATTTCGATGTGGAAAGTCATCAAACTTCAATGTTCCTTAATTATCATTTATTTATCATGAAAACAGCTAATATTAAAACATTTAAAGATACATAAACAGTCAAAAACATTCTAATACATCATGAATGTCATATTTAATATAAAAGAATAATTGATGAATAATAGCAATTAATTTTCAAGTATATAAAAAGTATATTCTATTATGTACGTCGTGATTTTCAGATGCCTTGTATTTTTCTTTTTCTATAATTTGTTAATTTTATTTTTTCCGAATCAATATGAATTTGTTCATATTATAATAACATATTTCATGTTAAAAATGATTAATAAAAACAGGTCAACAATAATATTTTTATTATAAAGATTATTGAAATTTCATCAATATTGACAAGTTACTCTAGTAAATAATCAAAAGATCTATTACAAATATTAAAGTTGAACATGACATCATTTATTGTTGTTCTACAATATTTTTTTATCTATCTAGAATTTTAATTGAGCAATCTAATCTCATAAATATATGTATTCACTTGTGTAATCGCACTATGTCAGATATTAGAAAAGGATTCACTTCTTTTTCCCATTTGTCCTTGTTTTGTATGACATTTTTTCGTTGTATGAGAATAAATTTTCTCTAGGAAAACATCTGTTTTATTTTATTAATAAAATAGTCGTTTTGCATTAGTATTAAAATAAATATTTTGTCTTTCGATATGATGTTTAAACCCACCATGATCACATGTGTAGATATAACCTTATATACTTAGAAAAGTCAGACGATAAAACTTGTTTGCCTCATTTAGAAGTTTTTTTTTTTTTTTTTCCTTTTTTTTCCCTCGGTCGGCTCTTCTGTAATCATCACAACTGCTATGTTATAATCATAGAAGAGCCGAGAAGAAAAAAGAGAACTCTAACATGAACGGGGGAAAAACAACAACTAACAGAAAAAAAGAGGAGAAGAGAAAAAAAAAGAAGGAACTTTTCTCGGTCGGGATAGAATGTTAGCTAGAAAGATACTTCGATTCTCATGTCTTTCGGAGAGTCGATGAGAAAAATATTTTCTTGAGTGAATGCGTAGGGGTTGTAATAGCTGCTGGAGGAGTGAGAAAAAAGAGAAAAATTTGCCTGATGACGTAGAAACATAAGACACAAAAGAAGACAATATTGTTATATTTTTTAGATCCCCTATACTTCGAGACAATGCATCAATTAATGTCCCGATTTCCCTTATTTATTTTCTTATTCTGCTTGACCAATGCAGCTATTGATTATACTCAAAATTATAATGACATTGAATTTACCCCGGAACATTCAAACGAATGGGTTGTAAGAATTGATGAAGGTAAATGAGTACTAAAATATTTACAAATAAACAAAATTATTATTGTTTTTTTTCTTTCTAGGTGATGAAGTTGCTGATCTTGTAGCAAGCGAACTTGGTTTACAAAATCGACGAAAAGTCAGTTGTTCGATTTGTTTTTTTCTATTTTATTCGAATATTTTTTCTTTTAGATCTTTGATAATTATTATTTATTTATTAATCCTTACGTTCCTCGACGATCCAAACGAGCAACCAATGATTTTACTGATTTACTTGCTAAACATGAAAAAGTAAATTGGGCTGAACAACAACGATCACAAAATCGTGTTAAACGAGATCTTATCGATAAACGTGCACAAGAAGATCGTGTTTATCGTTCAGTAGCATTTTCTGATCCAAAATGGGGTAAAGAATGGTACTTAGTAAGTATTAAATTATTTATTTTAATCAATAAAATCGATTATATTTTTTTTTAGAAAGATACAAGACCAAAAAGTGCAAGTCAATTACCAAAACTTGATTTACACGTTTTACCCGCATGGGCCGCTGGTTATACAGGAAAAGGTATTAAAGTAACAATTCTTGATGATGGTCTTGAATGGAACAATTCTGATATCATGGCAAATTATGATCCAAAAGCCAGTTATGATCTCAATGATAATGATGACGATCCAAGTCCACGATACGATCCAACAAATGAAAACAAGTAATAAATAAATAAATTTCTATAATTTAATATATTGTATTCGATTTAGACATGGAACACGATGTGCAGGTGAAGTTGCTATGGTTGCCAATAATTCCATTTGTGGTGTTGGTATCGCGTAAGTTTATTTGTTAGATTATTTTATATATATATTTATTATTATATTATAGATATAATGCAAAAATTGGTGGTATTCGTATGTTAGATGGTCATGTTACTGATCGTGTTGAAGCTGAAGCTATTGCTTTTAATCATAAATATATCGATATTTATTCAGCTTCTTGGGGTCCAAATGATGATGGACGAACAGTAATAATAGAAAAATTTTTATAGAATAAAAATAATAGAATTATTTTAGGTCGAAGGTCCAGGTACACTTGCATCAGCTGCTTTCATCAAAGGAATTACAGAAGGTCGTAATGGAAAAGGTGTAATTTATGTTTGGGCATCAGGTAATGGTGGACGACGACAAGATAACTGCAAGTATGTTTTGAAAAAAAACTGTCTCTTTTATTTTATAATTAAAAATATATATTAGTTGTGATGGTTATACTGGTTCAATTTATACAATTTCGATTTCATCTGCATCCGAACATCAACAATCACCATGGTATGCTGAACGTTGTCCAAGTACAATGGCAACAACATACTCATCAGGAGCATATAGTGATCAAAAAGTGGTATGTTGATAAATTAAAATTAGAAAAAAAAATCTATTTTTTTCTCCGCCATCCCCTTAAGACAACAACAGATCTTCATGATTCATGTACCGATGATCATACCGGAACATCTGGTTTGTTAATATAAATTTTACTCTAATAATAAATTTCAATTTTATTTTGTTTCTAGCTTCAGCACCATTGGCTGCAGGCATTTTCGCTCTTGTATTAGAAGCAAAGTAAATAATTAATTTCATATTTAAAAAAAAAATCTTTTTTCTTTCATAGTTCGGAACTTACATGGCGTGATATGCAACATTTAGTAGCTTGGACATCAGAATATGCACCATTAGCTGATAATCATGGTTGGTCAACAAACGGTGCAGGCTATAAAGTATGACATTTTTAAAAATCTATTAATTATTTATAAGAAAAAAAAAGATATTTTTAAAAACTATGATATTTTATTTGTGTACTTAATATTATTAAAATTATGTTTACATTAAAAAAGAAAAGTTAAATAATTGTTTTTTCCTTTAGGTAAACAGTCGTTTTGGTTTCGGTCTTTTAAATGCTGCCGCATTAACTGAAGCAGCCAAAAACTGGGTTACTGTACCAAAACAAAGTATTTGTGAAATTGAACCTGTTAAATTCCAAGCACAGTATGTTTGTTTTTTGTATTAAGAAAAATAAATTCAATTGTTTTGTTTATAGACAAATCAGTGCTGCTCATCCATTAGAAATTGATTTTGAAGTAAAAGGTTGTGAAGGTGAAAATAATGTTGTCCGTTTTCTTGAACATGTACAACTTTACGTTACAATTCGTTATACACGACGTGGTGCACTCAAAATTAACATTACCAGTCCACATGGTATAAATCAAATTTCTTCTTTCCGTATTTTTATATATAAAAAATTCATTTTCTTAGGTACTCAAACAACACTATTATCTGAACGTGAACAAGATTCATCAACCGATGGATTTAAAAACTGGTCATTTATGAGTGTTCATAGTTGGGGTGAAAATCCACAAGGTTTATGGACAATTAAAATTATGGATACAGTAAATATCTTTTAGTTATAAATATACAAGAAATCCTTTATTTTATTTTTTAGACAGGCAATATGAAAAATCACGGCTCATTGGAAGATTTCCGTTTAGTTTTACATGGTACAGCTGAAGCACCTCATCATATCCAAGCTGGACCACGAGTTTATGATGAAAACTATAATACCGTTCAGAATGAACGAAGTGTAAGTTACAGATAATATGATATGTTCCAATCAGAGAAAGGAAGTTTAACAAGATCTTAACTCGTTTTTTTTCTTTTATAGGAAAAACGTCAAAGTTTAAAAAATCAACAAACTATGTTTGAATCCAATAAACGTTCATCAAATCAAGATGAATATCGTCAACCATCATCAGAAGATCAATCCGATGATATTAATGCAATTCCTAATACAGATAGCCATTGGCTTCGTGTTCTCGCTCGACTTAATGGTAATTGGTTACAATAAATAAAATAGAAGAAAGAAAAAAAAATGAAATATATAAATATAAAGAATATAATATAATGTCAAACATCAATAATCTAGTCATCATCATCATCATCAGCATTCCAAAAGAGGAATCATTTCTTCTTTTTCCAATTCTATTTTTATAAAACCATCGTGAATTTAAATTTTATTTATTTCTCTCTTTCTCTGAATATATTTCAAAAAGAAAAACATCAACGAAGGAAAATATGAAGGAAAAAAAACGCGAAATATTATTTTTGTCTTTTTCTTATAAATTTTGTCGATGATGTCGATTGAAATTAACTGATGATAATTCAGAGCTTGTTGTTTGAGGTGCATTGTTTGAATTAGTTACTCTTCTTTTACGTTGTGATGAATACACAACACTAAGTGCAGTTGGTTCGGAAAAACTACGACAGGAAACATGGGTTTGAGATGAAAATTCAGGTGACCATGATATACATGGACAAAAACGGAATACACTACGAAAACCATTACGAAATCTAAATATTAATAGAAATATGATGATTATAGAAAAAAAAGAATCGAACTAATTTTATTTACCTATTATTCATACAACAATAAAGAAATGGATTGTACATTGAATTACTCATGGCAAAAAAATAGGATGTTAAATAAACATAAGGAGTTCCAGGCCAGTCAGGAATAGATACATCTACGGAAAGAAGTACGAAATATAGTTGTTGAGGAAACCTAAAGTTAAATATAAGAGATTTCGGATTTTGTTTTTTTGTAAGTTTATTATTACCAGCATATGCCAAAAATTAAAACAACAGCAATAAGCATTTTAACAACTTTTCGTTTCGATTGAATTGAATCACGTTGTCGTTTAGTAACTTCTCCAATAGCTAAATATAATAAAAATATATATATACATACATGTTATTATCAAAACAAACCAGTTTGTCCCCAAAGTTCAATAGCAATTCTAGTATATGTTATTGTTAAAATAACAATCGGACCTATATATGTTACGGAAAAGAAGATCCATTCATATCTATTAATATAAAAAATAAATCTTAAGTAAGAAAAAAAAAAGATTTCTTTTTACTTTTGATGACTTTTTAAATCATCAATTTTACAATCATGTTTAACATAACTAAATGATCGAATAGCTGGTGATGATACAAGTAATGATAATATCCATATACCACATATAATCATAATTGTTTGTTTATGTGTTAATTTCGTACGTAATGGATGTATTATAGCAAAATATCTTTAAAAATAATTATAAAGAAAAACAAAAAAGAATTTTTCTAATTTACCGATCTAAACTAATTGCTACATATGTAAGTACATTAGCTGCAATTGATACATGAGTTACAGCTTGTACTAAAGTACACATCAAATTTCCAAATGGCCATAGTACTTGAGCGACCATATAATAACCATTAAATGAAATATTAAATATAGCATTAAGTACATCAGCATAAGCGAGGTTAACAAGAAAATAATTTGTTGGTGTTCTCATACGACGATGAGCTAATACAATCCATATGACAATACTATTACCACAAACAGCCAAAAGTACAACAAGAGCAAACAGGAATAAATAGATGAACTAAATAATAAACAACAAAAAAAAACATTTTTTAATCATTCTTTATTGAAAATAAGAATATATTGATCTATAAATAGTTTTTTTTAAAAATAAAGGAAGCTTTAGATAAGTTCACATTTTCTTGTATCTATATCTATTATATATATGTATATATGTATAATCCATTAGTGATTTTTATCATGTCTCCTAGTTTTGCAATTGCTATATTTCTAAGTATGTTATTCATAGGGTTTCTTTCTTTCAATTATGTTTTTCTATTACACGGAAAAGAATAGAGTATATAAAATACTTTTCCGTTACCTAAACAACATCGATGTATTCAAAAGAAACAAACTATTTTACTACTTCGAAAGTGCTATTATTTAGTTTAATTATATGTAATATATCCGGAAAATATTTGATTATAATAATGAAACTGTATTTGAAATCAGAATAGTTTTTTTTTAAATATTAGTTATTGTCTGATAGAAACCTACAATAAAGTTAATATGAAAACTTTTACTTACTTGTACAGGTAAAGGCAATCCGGATGATATTTCTTGTTTTGAAGAATTATTAAAAGTGTAATTGATCAATGTAGCCATTATTATTTTATAAAAATTATCTACTAATATTCATTCGTTATGTATCTATTTGTCTATTCTATCTTATTATATAAATAAGAAAGAATCTAATTTTTTAGGTTTTTTTGCTACTTCTTTTTTTCTTCTCTCGTCTCTTTTCTCCCTCTCCTTCTCTCTTTCTCTACTCTTCTCTTCTATTTTTTAGTTGTTTTTCATTTGGATACATTTCGTCATCATCATCATCATTATCATCATCATAGACCCCTCGCTTCTCATTCATTACTTGTCGAAGAGTTTGCTTGACAGGGTAGAAAAAGACGATGTGAAAGTATAGAGTAACATAGAGAGAAAACGATGATACTCATCGAAAACAACAACAAAAACAACAAAAATTCTAGACAAAAAAAAATCATAGATCCGCTTATCATTCTTTTTCTTGAACGCTGTGCACGGTTGTTTGGTTCAATGGGAATGCAGATCTTAGTTTTTGTTCTTTTTTCTTGTTATATATCGAATAATCCATGCGTTTTGTTAGAAGACAAAAGAGAGAGAGAGACACACAAAAAAGAAAGAGAAGAGAAAAAAGACAATGATCTTTCATTCTGATTATGCGTGAATTACTATTTATTTGATACAAAAAAAGAAAGATCTGAAGAATGACGAAAAAATCTTTTAAGACTTCGTTATTCTCGCTTTTGTGCACATCTCTATTGCAGTTGAATCATTCATTTTCCATATAAAAATAGATAAATAGTGTATAATTGTAAGACAATGAATAAAAAAATGAAAATATTCCATAGAAATTTAATTTAAGCTCTCAATTGAACATATATTTCGATAGTTTACATCAGTTTAATATTATAGAACATTCTATGATGTTTATCTGTTGACTGGATTATCTTAGTCATGACATTGCATATTATATTATAGCTTTTAGAAATTTGCCCAAGAGATTTGAAAAGTATGATGATGAGGAAATATATGAATCATAGTTTCCTCTAATGAGAATTTATGAATATTTTATATTGATATAATCAATATGACACATATATTATATTAGCAAACTAAAAAATAATGCGGAAAAAGATTATTTGTTTGCTCATTTCCATAGAATTTTAATAAAAAATAAATTCGTACATTTTTCTATGGTGAACATACATAATTCATAAGAAATATATAGAGAAAATATTGCATCATTAGGTAGTAGACCTTTCAGATATAAACTATATTAAGCGTGATCTTATTCAGAAGTACTGCATTCGACAAAGATTAATCTGTTCTATTAGTAAGAACATTTACGTACGACTAATGTATCTTACCTTGATGTGAGTGACTTTTTTTTACAATTATTTACTTCACATTTGTTATGTAATATATCACAATAATGTGTAATTGATGAAACTAATCAATTTTGGTAAAAGTACGAAAATGTCTTAACGTGAGATATTTTGTGTGTCTTTACAAATGAGAAGTTTAGCTTAGATATTTAAGAAAGTTAACAAACTCTTTATAGAATCAAAGGCATTCATGCTCTTATTAGCCGAAGCATTGATTGTATATTTTATTACGAAAAAAAAAGAACTTTTTACAAACGATTCAATTCAGTCAAAACAGTGTGTTTCATACAAATTGTTTTTTTTCATCTAATACTGTGAAATACCTTGTAGATTCTATCGTCAATGAATAACCATAGTTGGTAGACTTACACCTTAGATATTATAAACTAATGTTATTACATAATTCATATATACATATATAAAAATAACTAGAACTGTAGGAAACCCAAATGTAATAACGACTATCAAGTCTCGTTCATTCAAATTTTCTCGACTTTGTTGTGAAATATTATTTGATCAACCTACATATTGATAAAAGGATAGATATCAAAAGTCCACGAATACTTTCAAAAGCAATCGAACAATTATATCCTAATGATAAATATCGAAAGCATATAATAATAATTGCAACTAAGAAAACACCCAATGATTGTTCGTATACATTACAAACATGGTGGTAGAAAATAGTAGATGCAACCTAGAATCACTGGTATACTCAAATAGCATAGTCATAGTTCACTTATTTTACATTTTTTTCTAGTGGGAGTGTTACAAAGAAAAATCTATCTTTTAAAAACACAAGAGCAACATATCATGTTTAATTATACTTTCAACTAGACTTTAATGACACTTCATCTGTTTTAGATGCCAAATGCATCATTCATCATGTTTGAAACATTAAATTCCAAGCTTTGAAGTTTATAAATGAAAATTCTGCTCGGATTATTATTCATATTAAATATAAAATAGTACAATACGAATAATATAGTTCGATCTTTATCTTTTACATCATCAGTATTTTATAGTTTTCTATTTATTAAATACTTTCATTGTTCATTAGTGTCTCAAATTATTATAGTTTCATGAAAAAAGAAGAGTACTTATTGCAACAAGTATATAAAATCCCAAAAATAACTGACATGAACATATACACATAGTTGTGATCTTTTTATTTAACACTAAAAACAACTTTTTTTTCCTTTCTTAATAAATATTAAGATAATTATACAAATAAAATCAAAAGAAAAGTAATTCATATTTTTGGTTCACCCAAATTTTCATACCAGTATCATCTGAATAAGCATAATTGTTAAAAATTCACTATTACTAATTGTATTCAATCTATATAGTGACAATCGTTTCTCAATATTCAGCGGAACGGATCGAATTCTTATATTTCCTTCTCCAATAAATAAAGTTCGTATATTCGTAAATAACCAAATATGTATCCATTAATCTCATAATAGCGATCTTCTTAATTATTTTTTGTCCTGTTTGTTTTGTTGAGCAACTGTTGCAACTCTCGTTTCAACAGGATAAACTCGTGCTTGATTCCATCGGAATATATCTTGTATTTGTGGTGTAATAAATATTAATGAAATCGATTCAACTAATACTCCAAGTGATATACTCAAACCTTGAATATGATAAGCAAATGGTACTACATATTTCGTAATCATGTATGTTAATACAATTCCAGCTGTCGGTAGACCAATACCAACAACAATAAAAACAAGAATAACGATACGTTTTAAAATAATCAAATCTCTTTTATTTGAATTTTTTCGTCGTTGTTGAATTTGAGTTGGACGACGCGTATATCGAATAATTTGAGTATATATTGTAAATATAATTGATAGAGGATTATTAAAAATAGTTATTAAAACTAAAATAAGTCCACGAATATTTTCAAAAGCAATCCAACAATTATATTCCGTTGGTAAATATTGAAAATCATTTAATAATAAATTTGGAAGAATACAAAGAAATGATAAAATCCATTGGATCATAATAGCAATTAAAAACACACCAAATGATTGTAAAATTTTATATTTATAAAAAATAATTCGAAATAATCGAAATATTGCTTGAAGAACAAATGAATAATACAAAGAACAAAAACAAACATGAGTAAGATAAGTTCGTATTTCACACCATTGACCTCCGAATGATAGACGTGAATCAAGATTTCCACGTAAAGTATATGAATACATTAAGAGCATTATCGAACTAACTAATAAGGAGTTAAAATAAGTATTACATGTCAATAGAATTGATACATTTGATTTTAATGCACGAATACGAATGCAAATCAATATAAGCATTGTTATACAGATAGCGAGAGTTATGGAATAAAGACAGACGCCAATACCACTAAGAATTAATGCTGTATTCATTGGATAAATAATTTCTATAAAATTGAATTTATGAGATATATTTTAATTAGCGAAATAAATAGTATTTTTAGTTGTTCTATAGAAACTATCGAACGAACAAATACTAATCTTGATATTTATCCGATATTGTAAATATTTCAATGGCTAAGATTTTATACGAACAAAGCTTCAGATTTTTCCATTAATAAAAAATGAGACTCACAGTTTTAAAGAATATTAACGACGAAACTTATTTATAATTATACATTGTGTTTAAGTATCAGAAGAAGTTACTGCAAGATGAGTTCTTTTAGAGAACATGAATATAAGCAAAAAGAAATGTTTTTATAATGTTAATTATGTTAAAAATCCACTAATATTATTGGTTCCTCAATCCATGACATTTCTTTTATATAATGTGTCTGTTGCTGACAACAGAAATAGAATGAATCAGAGAGATTATTATGTCTACACGACTGAGAAAGTAAAAGAAAGAATAATCTTTATTATATAAATAGAAATTATAAAATATGCGCAATATTTTCAAGTGAAAATAGTGCTCCTATGAGCATATTACATAAAACATGACCTTTATATAACTATCTTAGACTGAAATTATTATGGCTTAAAATACTTTAGAGTCATACTTTTGTCTATAAAATATTTTTATAGCTTTCAGTTAAGGCGAAAATATAAGGAATCGAAAACATATATGACATAATACAAAATATTACGAACAACTGCATTAACCCGCAAAACGTGAATTGATGTGCCTGTCATACAATTCTTACATCCGAGCACTTTAAAAGAAAATCTATCAGTATAAATGTGTGTATGATCTTATTTTACCTGATTTTTATGAACTAAACAATGTCGAATTAGAAGTTTTGCAATATTTGTTTAATATTTAAATAAGAAAGGCAAATGTCGAGAAACTTATAAAAATTGTGAAAAAAAAATGACGGAAAAGTGTACCCAAGCAGTTTCTTTTTTTCTTCTTAAGATCAATTAATCTTCATACAAAAGAAAATGGGAGAACTTATAGTTCATAACTGTCAGTTGTTTTTGACATTAAGTAAAACACGTTAAACTTTTATCTGAACATTTAAAGTGCTCGCTATGAGATCTAGCGGAAATTATAGGATATCTTAAAAGGCATGCTCACTTCAAACTTTCGTTTATTTTCTGGAGACAAATAACAAGTATCTTTCATATTGCTGAAAAGTATTGTCTTTGACAGTTTCTTTTTTTAATGAATTTAATTTTTCAAATTAGCTAGATGTTCGATTGTTGTTTTGAAATAATTTCACTGTTAGACATTAAATAGGATTAAATCAGTAAATCGAAGAATTCATGATATTAGTCCACTATTTCCAGTCTACTAGTTGTCGGAACGAGCATTAAGTCAACTATGGACTTCCTTTGAGAGAGCTAACAATAGATGCTAGTTTTTCTTCTAAATAGATGCAGCATTCATACACTTCTCAAAAGAAAATTTATGCTTGACTTAACAACGGTTTCGACAACAGCTGAATGGGAAGTGATGAACTAATATCGTGAATTTTTCGATTTCGAGATTTAATTCCATTCGTCGTTTTTCTGTGAAATCAATAATTAGAAGAAAAAACTTCCAAAGGCAATACTTTTGATCATTATAAAAGAAACTTGCAATTTTTCTTTATAAAATAAATAAAATTGATTATCTCGTTTAATAGATAAGAAAAGGAAATGAATATTCAATAGAATGTCCAATATGCAGACTAATCCATAAGTTATCAGATAGTCTTTGATTGCGAATAGATCGTGAAAAGAACGAGATAAAAAGCTGCATTTTTCACTGTTGAAAAGAAATAATGAAGATGTATCGAGGTACATACTTTGACTTTTTCTAAGATGTGTTCTGAAGTTATTATTTTACGACGTTCATTAAAGAAAATTGACTCTTCATACGATATGAGTTTTTTTCACAGAGCTCACAGAACAAATGACTCAAGAATTTGCAAAAATCTGATCAAAGAATTCTGTAGGCTGAATTGTTCAATAAAAATAGTAATTGATGATAACTAATAACACATAATACAAAAAAAATAGACTATTCACAATCATTAGTTTGTTTTTAATAGATTGATTTATCAATAATTGAATAATTATCAAATCAATAACAATAGTGGGGTATTTATTTTTAATTTTGAGAAAATAAAAATGATTTATTTTTTTTTATTCATTTTAAAAAAGAACAATTATTTATTTTTATTTTCGATACTTCTCACGTTCATGATTAAGGAAGAGCCTTAAGATAAGCTGCAACACCAGCAAAAGTTTCAAGACCTGTACAAATAAGATTAATATAAATTAAAATATTCTATTATAAATATAGCATTACCTGTTTTCAAGATTTCGCTTACAGGAGCAATGAATCCAGTACCACCAGTTGGTGGTAATTCGATACAATATGAATATAAGATATTTAAAGCACCTCTTGTCCAGTCTTCACTACCACCACTGGCAACATCTATTAAACAAAATTATTAATTGAAATAACAAATTTATACAAACTAACAGAGTATTTGTGCTGATGAACCGACTGTGTATGCACGTCCATGGACAGCTTTAATAGCATTGGCACCAATGTTAGCTTTTTGTTTCTATTAAAACACATTAAATAAAATATTATTATATTCAAATAAATTCTTACAAGCTCATCATATTGAGGTGGATTAGCTGTGGTGTATCCCCTGAAAATAATCTATTATACTACATACCTTTTTTATTCATCTACTTACCAATTCTAAAAGAAAAAATTTATTATAGAAACAAAGATATCTTTTCAACTTACGGTAAACCACCATCTAAACAAAAATACAAACAATGATATAAATAAAAAAAAACATAGGATATGTATACATACTGTCCATAAGAATGAAATGTTAAATAAGTATTCCATGATTTACCAGTCATATAGTTTTGAAGTGCTTTAGCTTCATTTTCACTCATTGGTGAGCCACCGTGAAATGTATCAGAACATGCACTTGCAGAACTACCACCAGTATTCCATTGATAACCAAAATTACGATTAAGATCAACACCATAGCAAGTACCAGATACTAATTTTCGATTTTTACGCCACATACGTTCCTTTAAAATATTTTAAATTTTGTGATTTCTTTTTATAGATTTAAATTCTTCTACAAACTCGTGCATGTGAATGAGCATAACCATCAGGATTGAGTATAGGAATAATATGGAATTCCCATGTATCTAATAATTCTTTAGAAAGACCACCCGCTGCATATTTTGATACAAGCTATAGAAAAATATTATTATTATTAAGAAAAAAAATCAATCATTTATTTCATACTTCATTGATTATATAAACACCTGTTGCTGGTGAAATCCATTCTCGAGCATGAATACCAAAATCAAGACAAGCTTTTTTTTTATTTGTTGCTCCATTATTACCAGTACACTAAATATGTAATCTAAATGTATATAATAATCTTTTTTTTATCGAAGAATATTACTTTAATAAGCCAAATATCTCGATTTTCATATGTTTTACCAATGGAGATGAGTGTGCAAAGTTGTGGATAAAGTCCTACCAACTCTTTTAACCAAGCAGTAACCTATTATCATTGAGAAGAAAAGAACATGTTTTACTATTACTAAAAAATATATTTTACCTCATCATAATTAAGAAAAGCATCATGAATTCCACGTGGTGCACCAGATCGTGCTCTTAATTGAATCTCGTTTTCTTCTTGATCGACTAATCTAATAAAACAAACAATAATTAATAGAATATCATTTATTTCAAAAACAAATCTTACGCTTGTACATCATTGTGCATAATACTTGGTTTCATACTTAATGATGAAAAGAGTCCCATAAGCCATGGAGCAGTTGCATTATTGAACATAACATGAACGGAGCTATTGCGACGAATATCATTCCAGATATTGATCTAAACAATAATCGAAATTATTGATTTTAATTCATAAAAATTGCTTACTTCATCAGTATCTTCAAGTAATGATAAAACTTTAAAATGTTTTTCTTCGTATGGTGTTACAGATACGAGAATATTACTAAAATAATTGATTTTATTGATTTTATTAAATATTTTTCAAAACTTACCCATCATAACGTTTTTTCGACGCAGTCGCAAGAACAAAAGCAATACACAATATTAAACAGCGAATATACATCCTTGTATTCGTTGTTTCTTTTAGTAAACTGTATCTATTGCTTTTACAGTTTTCATTTATATACCCATTGTTCTTTCTTTCTACGCACTATTACTAATCCTTCAATCAAGGCGGTACTTTTAAGGTCAAGTATAAAAGAAAATATCTATAATATTGTGTTAATATCTATGTCATTCGATCTCATCTTTCAAAATAACAAGCTTTGCAATAGAATATCACTGTACTTTTTTTGATTAGGAAAAAACCTTGACTTTGTTCGAATATACATTTATTTAATGGAGATCAAGTGCAAAATGAAATAATAAAAAGATTGAATAGGTTTTTAAATGAAATAATAAATCATTATTTTTATTTAATCTTATTTTTCTTATGTTTTTTAATGGATATTTGAAAATAAAATCGATTTCAAATATTGATTTTACTATTCATGCACAATTGAAAAACATAGAAAATATATATATATATAGAAATCACATCAATCAAATAAAATATAAGAAAAATCATAGTAAACATTTAAATAAAAAATAGATTTCTGATTTTTGAATTAATCATAAAAACAATAAATGTTTAAAGCCCTTTAATAGTACATGGGAATCGATCTCGGCTGTTTGCACGTCGAAAACGTAATGGTATTGGCTCTTGAACATGAATACGACGTGAACAATCACCAAGTTTTAATGCTATTTTTAATATTTCTTTAAGTCCAGGTTCATCTCCGCTAACTGGTTTACCTAGATTTATTCCATATTATAATATAAAATAAAAGATTTATGTTTAAAAACTTACCTAAAGAAATTTGCATTTGTATAATAAGTATAGCAAAGACAACATAAAGAGTAATCTTGCTACGATTCATTTTGTATTACTGTTGTTCTTTTAAATTTAATATTAAAAATAGTTGACGATAACGATCGAGTCCTTTGTGCTAAAATGATAATAATAATAAGGAAGTAGATTTTTGGTTTTAGTTTAAATCACGATTAATAGTTTTGTAAGTATCTATGTTTAGATTTTGTAAATATATATATATATATATACAAATTTATGTCGATTAAAACAAGAGAGAGAAAAAAGGAAAAATGTTTTTTTGAATTCCTTTATAAATTATGTGTCATATTAAGTGCGTGAAAATATGTTAAATGTAAACTATTAATCAGATATGAATAATATGGAAACCACTTACCTTATTAAAATTAATAAAGTGCAATAATTGTTTATATGAATCAACGTATCGCTGTTTGTTGTCTTTTGACATTGAATTTTCTACTTGTAAAATTTAATTGTGTCCTTGTTTTATGTTTAAAAGACACGAAACGAGCACAAAAACCAAAGAAGAAGGAATAAGGCATGCGGCGCTCAATTATATGCGGTCATTTACTATTTTGCGACGCAATTTAGTTATGTTAGATTTAGTCATGGGACATCTAAAGTAAGGAATGATAAGATGATGATGACAAGAATAGAACAGAAAGAAGAATTTTATACTACGCAATAGTACTCGAGTGAGAAGATAAAATCTTTGTCCTAAATTGGAGCGTCAAGGTCTTCATAACAGCACGTGGATTTCTCGCATGTTATCCTGGACTTTTTTTTCTCCCATTCTGTTTATTAAAGTGCAAAGAATATTTCCTGTATTTTGACGTAATTTACTTATTCATGAAATTTATCAAAATGAATCTTTTGTTTAGATGAATAGAAATTTTTTATTTTAATGAAACTATTTTAAAAATAAATAATTTAGTCATACAAAAATGATGTAGGAAGAAGAAATTCCATTCAACAATATACTTCCAAATGATTATTCGAGAAAGAAAACTTTTGTTTAATATTAAATTAAATATAATTATTTTGACAAAAGAAAGATCTTTGCCTTTTATTAAATATTTGTCACATGACAATTTAGAATATGCACTTTCATAGTCCATGTTATGTAAAGAATAGAGTAAAAGATATGAAATTGATAAACAGTGACTATGCAGAAATAAAAGATGACCGATTACGTAGGAAAATGTCATAAGGTACTTTTAATTTATGTCGTAGTTTAGGACTATTTTTTGTGAAACGAAGATATAAAATCTAAAGAATGCAACCAGTCCATCTCTTTTTATAACTAAATTTCGTCGTTATAAACAAAAAAACAACATGTTTGAAATTGATATAATATGATATCTTCATTTCGACTAAGTCAAATGGGTTGATTTTTCGATTATTAGAGAACTTTACTTGTTTCCTAAATACGAAAAATATGTGTAAAATATTTTGTGGATGTTTTTCAATGGTTACATAAGAGAGAAGGACAAGAAGAAGAAGAAGTCAACATCAACTTTCTATATGATGTACATAAAGGAAAGTTTGTGTCTATCACCTTATTGATGAATGAGTAATTTCTTTGATAAAGTCAACTATAATAATTAAATATGATCTGTATAAAAAAAATCAGTCCATTTGACTTCGCCGAAATCCAGATATCTAAATTTCTTATCGCTGTGTTATTTATAGGCGATCTTGTATATGAATCATTTTACCTTTCGTACAATGAATTACAAAATTAGTTCTATAAAATCTTATAAATACATATCATTCGTCAGAATCTTTTTTTGGTCCTATTAATTGCATTTTGTAATAATCAAACTTTCGATAAATCTTCTTCTTATGCTTATTTTCAATAAAAAAAAAACAAAAGAACACAAAAACAAACAATGACAAATAGAATAGAATAAAGTAAAGCAACGAAACAAAAAAGACAATATATTCATGCATGTTTTCTAGACAAAAAAGACAAAAAAACCAACAAAGATTAATAGTACAAGAATGTATTATCTGAATGGAATGTTCATAGGAAAAGAAAGACCTTGCAAAAGGATATATCTGACATATGTTTACATTTGATCCTAAAACAAAAAAAAATTTATATAAATTATTTTAAAAAATAACAAAAATCTTACTTCTAATAAATCCGGATGTTGATGATCGATATGATTGAGAAAATGTTGATGATTGTTATTGATTTGATAATTACATTTCGAACATTGATAAAGAATCAAACGAGTTTTTTCTTGAACTAAAAAAAATAAAATTTTCATAATTAAATTTATACAAAATCAATGAATTTTACTTGTTGTAAATGGTTTAATTAATGGATTATTTTCTAACCATTGTAATTCTAGAAAAATAGAAATTCGAATTAAAATATCGATTATTTTCTTATAGATTTTTTCATACCATAATCATATATTTGTTCTGATTGATTATTATCATCATTTTCAATATCACTATTATATTTTTTATCAAAATCAAATTGATTTTTAATCAATGCATGACTTTTACGATGAATAAGTAAATCAGATAAATCATCAGCGTCATAATCACATTGTCTACAACGTAAATTATGATTTTGTGTACGAGTATTTGGTTTTTGTTTTTCATGATGATGATGATTATGATGATCATCTTGTTGATTTTCATCAACAATTATTTCATCTTCTTCTTCATCTTCAATAGATTTTTGTTCGAAAACTTTATCCGGTGATATTGTTTGATTATTTCCAATAACTAAACCAAGACTCTAAAAAAGAATTGATTAAATCATATATGAAAATTTGTTTTTATTAAGATTTATTTACCTCCATAACTTTAGCCATAGCTTTACGTCCAACTAGGACAGGACCATGATGATTACAAATTTTCATATGTTTTTTAACATCACATTTCCATTTTGATTTATAATTACAATTAAAACAATGATATGGACTTTCAGATGAATGAACAATTAAATGTCGTCGTAATTCAGCCATTGAATTAGCAGCAAATGGACATTGTTGACAAGATAATGTTCGATCACGTGTATATTTCATTGAAGATAATTTTTCTTGAACATCAACACCAAAAAAACTATAATCTTCTTCAGTTAATGGTGTTGGTGCTAATGTTCGATCATCTGTTCCTTCATATTTAGCTTT